CCTCCTCCTCCTCCTCCTCCTCCTCCTCCTCCTCCTCCTCCTCCTCCTCCGCTTCCTCCTCCTCCTCCTCCTTCTCCTCCTCCTGCCCCTGCGACCCCGCCTCGCACTCCCGCTCCCACTCCCACTCCTCCTCCTGCTGCTGCTGCTCCTCCTCCTGCTCCGCCTCCTCCTCATCCTTCTCCTCCTCCCCTCCTCCTCTTCCTCCTCCTCCGCTCCTCCCTCCTCCTCCTCCTCCTCCCTCCTCCTCCTCCCTCCTCCCTCCTCCTCCGCCTCCCTCCCTCCGCCTCCCTCCTCCTCTTCCTCCTCCCTCCTCCTCCTCCTCCTCCTCCTCCTCCTCCTCCTCCTCCTCCTCCTCCTCCTCCTCCCCCTCCTCTCCTCCTCCTCCTCCTCCTCCTCCTCCTCCTCCTCCGCCTCCTCCTCCTCTTCCTCCTCCTCCTCTCCTCCTCCTCCTCCTCCTCCTCCTCCTCCAGCTCCTCCTCCAGCTCAACCAGATCTTCCTCCTCCTCCTCCTCCTCCTCCTCCTGCCTCCTTCTCCTCCTCCTCCTAGCTCCTCCTACCTCCTCCTCCTCCTCCTCCTCCTACTCCTCCTCTCCTCCTTCTCCTACCCCTCCCCCCCCCCCGTGCCCCCTCGCCTCCTTCTCCTCCTCCTCCTCCCCTCCCCTCCCACTCCCCCTCCCCCTCCGCCTCCTCCTCCTCCTCCTCCTCCTCCTCCTCATCCTCCTCCTCCTCTCCTCTCCTCCTCCTCCTCCTCCTGCTCCTGCTCCTGCCCCTGCGACCCCGCCTCCCGCTCCCGCTCCCGCTCCCGCCTCCCACTCCCGCCTCCCGCTCCCGCGCCGACTCCTCGCCGTAGGTGTCCCGCTTCCAGCGGAACTGCGCGTGGAGGCCGGCCGGCGTGCAGCCGCTGGGCGTCCACAGGTAGCACCCCGCCTCCACTGGGAGATCGGGCGCCTCGCTGGGCGCGGGCCGCTCCCCGACGACGGCGACGACGACGACGACGCCGACGACAACGACGACGACGACGACGACGACGACGAAAACGACGGCGACCACGACGACGAAGACGACGACGACGACGACGACGACGACGACGACGACGACGACGACGACAACGACGACCACCACCACCACCACCACCACCACCACCACGACCACGACGACCTCGAAGACCACTACGCATCCGCCGCACTTTTGGGGCGGTTTCGCGAGTGGGGCGGCAACGTCCGACCTGCTTTTCGAGCTCCTTTGACGCCGATCCCCGCCCTGCTCTGCCGTCGCTGCCTCCGCCGAGCTCTTGCAGAGCTGACCGCCCTACTCCTCTGAGGTGGAAACGTCCGCCCTGCTTGTTCGCATCGTTCCGGGCGCGTGGTCGACGCGATCTGCCAGTCGGAACATCAGCACAAAGCACAGCGGATCCGGAGTCGGAGCCCCCCGTAGCCCGCGCACGAGTGCGCCTCCGCTGGCACCATCGGCGCGCCGGTGGTGGCAAAGCCAGCATCGACGGCCCGGCTCAGCGGCTGGAACGCCGCGGCGTCTGCCGCACCGCGGGCAAGCTCGCTCGCCAGGGCGTTCTCCTTCGCCTCCTCCTCCGAGACGAAGAGCACCTCCACGTCGTTCGTGCCGCACCAGGCGCCGAGGTGGAACTTGCGCTTCAGGCACGCTCCCCGGTCGACGCGCGCGTTCGCGTTGCTCTCTGCCCAGGTGTCGTGCTTCCACTGGTTGGGGTTGGACTTCACCGTGGGCTGCTTGGGACAGCCGCTGGGGTACCAGATGAAGCATCCAACCTCGGGGGGCGGCGCGGGTCTCTTGGGCGGCACCAGCATCATCACCGCGTCGGTGACGCCGCACCAGGCGTTGAACATGGACGAGCGCTTGAAGCAGGCCGCCTTGCCGCTGGCGGCGTCGTTGTGCAGCTCGCCGAACTTGTCCTGGGGAGAAGGCAGAAATTCCAGAAACGCAAGGTTCCGCAGGTCCGCGCGAGTTTCTTGGGCCGGCGCCGGGAGTCCCTCCCCGGCGCCCGGGGCGATGCGGGGGCGGCGCCGGAGGCGGCGCCAACGGGGGAACGGCGCAGAGCCACTACATCCGCACGGACCTCCGAAACTCGAAAGTGCATGCGTCTACTACTTCTTCGGTATTATTATTGTTGTTGTTCTTATTTATATTCTTTTCTAGAAAATAAGAATTATTATTAATATTAGTATTACTATTATTATTGTTATTATTATTATTATTAATATTATTATTATTATTATCACTATTATTACTAGTATTATTACTATTATTATGAGTAGTATTATTATCATTAGTATTAGGATTATTAGTATGAGTATTATTATTATTATTATTATTAGTAGTAGTAGTAGTAGTAGTAGTAGAAGTAGTAGTAGTAGTAGTAGTAGTAGTAGTAGTAGTAGTAGTAGTAGTAGTAGTAGTAGTAGTAGTAGTAGTAGTAGTAGTAGCATTATATATAAAAATCGCAATCGTAAGGTGGAGGCTTTAGATAAGGATGCCTTCGATAAGGGACCCAGCGTCGCGTGACCGATGGGCGGCCACACGTCGGCCGCCCACCTCGCCCTGAAACAATAGGGAATGCGCCAGGGTCTGGGCCCCCGGAAGACGTTCCGCATGCAATGCCGCCGCCGTACGAGTCATATCTCTACGAGCGTTCGAATTCTCGTGCTTCGTAGCATTCGGGTCCGCGTGGTTGCACCGCGCTGCCCTTCGCACTCCCGTTCTCAGTATGCGAAGTATTCATGCCGTTTGCAGGTTTGGAACTGTAGGTGTTCGACTCCGCCTTCTCTGGTATCAGTAATCATGGCTTCAATGATGTGAACATCACCCGTCTGTGCACTATGTCTCCGAGATCCCTTCTTCCCCGTACAGACGGGGCGTTGACTCAAGGAACCCTACAGAAGGAACGGGGCCCCTTTCTCCCAGAAGTTGAACTTCGATTTCCCATGGAAAACCTCAGGATAACAGAAGGCAAATTGCAGAACAAGCAAGGAGCACCGAGCCCCTCCTCAACGAAAAGGGTTCCTTCTGCAGGGCCCCGGCTGTATTGCCACTTCTGGACGTCCTGCTTCCACGCGTCTCCGTGAAAGTTCGGCTGCCTGCGGGGGGGGCACCACAAGATGCCGACACTGCTGCCTCTCGGAGCTCTCCCCGGGAGGCGTTCTCTGACCCGAAAGTTCCGCAGCGAATCCGGCCGTGGCGACGCGGGCTCTCTCCGTGGGGAGGTGCAGCGGCATCGGCCCGGAGATCCGACGACGCACACACATGCAGTACAGTCGGGGCGTGGACATGAGGAACCCTGAATGAGGAACGAGGCCCCTCTTTTCCACAAGTTAACCTTCGATTTCCCGTCGGAAACTGAAGGGAAACCTTGGGCAAGGTGTGGAACAATTCAGGAACGCCGAGCCCCTCCCCCAACGAAAACGGCTCCTTCTTCAGGGCCCCGACTGTATCGCGGCACAGACCACCAAGACGTGGGCCCCGCTTCCCTGCGCACTCCTTCCCGCAACAAAAGCCGAGGCACCAGGGCCCCCAGGCCCGAGACTCAAGCGAACAAGACGCCGGGGCTGCCAGCATGGAGCGCCCAGCTCTCGGGGGGACACGGTGGGGGCACTGGATCGGGAACCCTTAGATGAGAGATCCAGGGCCAGGAAGCCAGTGGAACTCCCAGTCGTGGCTCGGCCATGGACACCGCCGCCGCCCCCGCGGGATGAGGAAAATCCTTCAGGGTCCGGCGCCTCCTGGGCACACTCCTCAGCCGACGCCCCCACCGTATCTCAAAAAGGCCGGGTGGCCTCTGAGGAGCCCCGCCGCCTGCTGAACAGGCCTGCCCCCTCAATGATCATCGTCGTTCGGGTCTCCATCTCGGCAACTCCGAAGGGTATGGTCTGCAGAGGGTGTGGCTTGCAACCAGCACCCCGAGGGGCACCCTGGGTGAGAACGGTGAGGAGGAGGAGGAGGAGGAGGAGGAGGAGGAGGAGGAGGAGGAGGAGGAGGAGGAGGAGGAAGGAGGGAGAAGAGGGAGGAGGAGGGGACCCCCCGGTGGGGGCGGGGATCTCGTGGAGCTCCCCGCCGGGCGCCAACGGTGGAGGCCCGAGGGAGCGGTGTCCGTGTCCCCCATTGCCCCGACGGTGCCGATTGCAAACCCACACCCCTCCTCCGTCTCCTCCGCCTCCTCCCCTCCCTCCTCCTACCGCCTCCTCCTCCTCCTCCTCCTCCTCTCTCCTCCTCCTCCTCATTCTTCCACCTCCCGCCTCCGCCTCCGCCCCCGCCTTCCGCCTCCTCCTCCGCCTCCCTCCCCTCCCCTCCGCCTCCTCCTCCTCCTCCTCATCTTCCACCTCCGCCTCCGCCTCCGCCTCCGCCTGACGCCGCCCGCTCTCCTCCTCCTCCTCCTCCTCCTCTTCCTCCTCCTCCTCCTCCTCCTCCTCCTCCTCCTCCTCCGCCTGCACCTCCACCTCCTCCTTCTCCTCCTCCTCCGCCAGCCAAAACCAAGAACATTCGAGGGCACCCTCCCCCAGGATGCACAAGAGCGTCCAACAGACACCCAGAATTAGGGGGAACACAAGAGGTACCGATGCCGCTGCTCCTCGGACCTCCCCCGGGGTGCGTTCGGACCAGAAGCTTGAGGCGAATCCAGACGTGGCGACTAGGGCCTCCGAGGAGGCCCCCAAAGGGGAAAACGGGCGGAGGGTAGAGGTATGGGCACATTTTTCCTCCTCTGAGCTGATTGAGCAGGGACAGACCGTCCCGGCATCTCTATAGGCCTACCACGAATTGTTCTTAGAACTCCGGAATATTCGAATTACCAAAACAATGTTCTTAGAAGATACGCCCGATGTGATAAAACAACACACACTCCGCCAGAAATGTCCACAGAACATCTCGTGCAAACCCAAAAAGGTCCTTAGAGCATTCTTCGGTGGGCCTGTAGGCGAGCCAGGGCGCTTCGCCACTGCTTGAAATGAGGGCACCCCGCCCTTGCCGTCGCTCGGACGTCCATTTCCCGTGCATTGTTCGGTTTCGTGCGTGTTTGTTTTGCTCGATGGGATTATTGTCCTGTGCAAGTTCTTCGGCACCGCCTGTTCTCTGAGCCCTCCGGCCGCCTGAGGCTCTGCCCGCCCGCGCCCTGTCTCCCCAATCAGGGCTACTCGCGTCCCGTTTAGCTCTTGACCGTAAGGGGCCCGCTCCCGACCCGCAGACCGAAAAAGTGTTGCTCGATGGTCCAGGATGGTCCTCGAAGGTTCTCGCCGAGAAAAAGTGCACACCTCCGAACGATGCCAAGAGCCCGAACCGACCTCCTCCTCCTCCTCCTCCTCCTCCTCCTCCCTCCTCCTCCGCCTCCTCCTCCTCCTCCCTCTGGGCACCTCCTCCTCCTCCTCCCCCTCCTCCCCCCCTCCTCCTCCTCCTCCTCCTCCTCCTCCTCCTCCTCCTCCTCCTCCTCCTCCTCCTCCTCCCCCTCCTCCTCCTCGGGCACCCAGCCCGAACCGACCTCGATCTTAGGCCTCGGTCGGGCTGCAGAAGTCCGCGGGGAGCCCGCGGACGCCCGAGGACCCCGCCCCGCCCCCCCCCCTCGGCGCGCCGCCCCGCCCCTTCCTCTCCTCCTCTCAAGGGGAGGAGAGACTCGCAGTGGCATCGAAAACCTCCTCCTCCTCCTCCTCCTCCTCCTCCCTCCTCCTCCTGCTCCTCCTCCTCCTCGTCCCTCCTTCTCCCTCGTCCCTCCTCCTCCTCCTCCTCCTCCTCCTCCTCCTGCTCCTCCTCCTCCTCCTCTTCCTCTTCCTTCTCCTCTTCCTCCTCCTCCTCCTCCTCCTCGTCCTCGTCCTCGTCGTCCTCCTCCTCCTCATTTTCCTCCTCCTCCTCCTCCTCTTCCTCCTCCTCCTTCTCCTCATCCCCCTCCTGCTCCATTCTTTTTCCTAAGCACCTTCTCCCTGTCGCAACCCGAGACCAGCTTTTAGAGCGGACGGGGCGTCTCTCCTGAGACCGCCTCACCATTTGTGATTCTGAAGCTTCAAATTAGCAACCGTTTCACAAATAGAGGGTGGGGCGTTTTCAAGATCCCACCAGCCCTCTGGGCTTAGGTGGTATAACGCGTTTTCTTTCTTCTCCCTGCCCCTCCCCCATGCCCCCTCCCCTCGGCCTGGCAAGAGGGGGTGACGGAGGCGCCGCAGCGTCCAAGATGGGCCAAGAAGGTTCTAAGGGGGCTTCAAAGTCGCAAGAGGGCCTCCAAGATGGCCCATGCTACTTCCAGATGGGTCAAGATAGCCTTTGACATACCCCCAAGAGGCTCCAAGTCAACCCCAAGACGGGTCCAAGTGCCCTCCGAGCCCTCCACGGCGCCCTCCAAGATGCCAAGACCCTTCAAATGCCTAGGGAACATCAATGGTGTTGGCAGTATTTCCCTTTCGCTTCCGATGGGCTTTGGAAGCCTCAAGATGGCCCCAAGATGGCCCAAAAGAGGCCCAAGAGGGGCCCAACAAGGCAGACGACGGCCCCAAGATCGCCCAAGAGGCGCCCAAGAGCGCTCCAAGAGGGCCCCAAGATGCCGTTTGAGAGCCTCCGAGGGGGGCGGTGCTAATTGAGGGACCTCCTCGTTTTGAGCCATGGGGCCCAAGATGGCCCCAAGAGGCTTCCCAAACTCCCCCCAAAGACCCCCCACCCCGCCCTGTTTGGCCCAATATGGTTCCAAGAGAGCCCTAGATAGGCAAAGATGGTTTTCAAAATGGCCTAATATAGCCAAACACGGCTCAATATAGCCTCCGACAGACCTCCAAGAGGCCTCAAGGCAGCCTCAAGATGGCCCAAGATAGCCGAGCATGGCTCAAACTAGCCTCCGACAGCCTCTAGCCGAGCATGGCTCAGCTCAAGATAGCCTCCAAACAGGCCTCAAGAAAACTGGCAATCAATTATGGATGGGCTGGTGGGGATACGCGAAGCGTCGAGAATTTGGCTCTCGCCTTAGCGCCGCGCACATTCGTTTTTTTGAAAAAATTACAAGAGCTTCTCGGCTTGAGGGCGGGTCGTTTTCAAAATGTGGCTCTCGCCTCAGCGCCGCGCACGCTCGTTTTAAACATTTGCAAGAGCTTCACGGATTGAGTGCGGTTCGTTTTCAAAATGTGGCTCTTGCCTTAGCACCGCACAAGTTAGTTTTAAACGTTCGCAAGAGCTTCACGGATTGAGGGCGAGTCGTTTTCAAAATGTGGCTGTCGCCTTAGCGCCGTGCAAGGTAGTTCTGAAACATTCGCAAGAAATTCACGGATTGAGGGCGGGTGGCTTTCAAAATGTAGCTCTCGCCTCAGCGCCGCGCACATTCGTTTCAAATCTTTGCAAAAAGCTTCACGGATTGAGGGCGGCTCCTTTTCAAAATGTGGCTCTCGCCTTAGCGTCGCGCACACTCATTATAAAAATTGCCGGAGTTCCACGGATTCCCATGATCAACGTTTCAAAAAATATTGCCGGAGTGCAGTATCCCCAAACAGGGTTTTTAGACCCACTGCGGCTTCCAAGGTCGATTGCGTGCCCGTCCAGTGCGGACTGGCATGGCGTGTTAGAGCATGATTATATGATGTTTGCACATGAGATGTTTGCACGAAAACTTGTGTGACGCATACCTATCAGGAAGCTAACGCTAGAGGGTGTCGTACTCTCGCACCTGGTCGACGAGTAAGCTGTCGGGTCGGCACTGTGAGAGGCTCCGCCGCCATGCTGTGAACTCGGAAGCAACTGTAAGAGGAAGCGGGGGAGGGCGCGGAAGCGGGGGGGCATGTCGTGATGGTTTCCCTGGGGATGATCTCGAGAGGTACGCGGCGCACGTCTCAAAAGAAAAATCGTGACGTCTGATGCCTGGGGAGAGCGGAAGGCAGTGCGCGCATGACGGATGCTAAGGCGGCAGAAACGACGACGGCGGGGACGGGGAGGCGGAGGCAGAGGCGCAGCAGCTGGAGGCGGGAGGCGGGAGGAGGCAGGAGGGAAGAGGAGCCAGGCGGGAAGTGGGAAGAGGGAGGTGGGAGAAGGAATGAGAGAGGTTGTGATTGGAGCCCCTGTGCTACGAAACGTCTCAGGCAGAACGGGCCAGACCATCTCGCGCGCAACATCTTCGAGCCTCGCATTGCGAGGATGGC